AGCCTAACCCCTCACCTGGTCCCACAGCCGCAGCCAGGGCAGCGAGGAGCAGCAGGACGGTCTTCATCTCTGGCATCGTCTGGGAACACTGGGGGCTCCTCCTCTCGGGAGGCCTTATAGCTGAGACGCGCTGGGGGAGGTGTGGGTGGGCGGGCAGCCAGCCAGCAGGCAGCATTCCGCAGGACCTGTACAAGCGTTAACTCAGGACTGGCACCTGCCCCACCTTGCCTGGCCCACACCCACCTTCTCTCGTCAGCTGCAGGGGCCTCTGTTCCTGGCCACCACCCTCAGGTAGTGGTCTGTCCTCCCTGGCAGAACCCAAGGATACTGTGGACAGAGGCCTCCCAGGGTCCACTGCCCTTCCTAGTTCCTGCCCCAGCTACTCACTGCTGCTATATGTCTATCTCTCCCTACCTTAGTCTTATGGTCTCTCTGTATGTCTTGGTTCATTCCTGAGCCACTTTGTCTCTGATCTGCCAGCCCCTGTCACTATCCTGTGTCTTTGTCCTTGCATCTCCACCCAGGATAGCTCCTTCAACAGAGTCACAGCCTGTGCCAGTTGTCCTGTGGGTGCCCAGGGCTGTGCCCACATGCCAGGAGACAGAAGGAGGAGGTGCTGGCCCTGCTTTCCTGGGCTGTGGGCTCAGGGTTGCTGGGTTGACCCAATGGAGCCCTGAAACAAGGAACCCCATGGAAGCAAAAGGTCCTTGCTGAGGTATGAGGACCAGGGGGTGGTGGTGACTGTGGGTTGATGGGGTGTGTGAGGCACAGGGAGAGGCCACCCTGGGGCAGGGAGGGCAACTGGAATCAGTATGTGGGTAATGCATGTGGTGGCAGGGAGGTGAGCACCGGAGCAGGTGAGGACTGTGAAGCCCTTGCGAAGGACCTAGCTGTGCAGGTGGCTGGGGAGCCCTGGGTGGAGGTGCAGGAGGCAATGACTCTACACCTCATTGTGCAGAGAGGGACTGAGTGCCCCTCCTTGTCTCTACCAATCCTGCCTCCCATCCTTTGGGGCTCGAGGACCCCTCCCCAGGGGCTCCCCTCTCCCATGCTCCTGGGATCCTTGCTCTGCTCAAGGGGCAGTGCCATCATCTTGCTTTGCATCTGTTTCTCTACATGTCTTTGCCCTGGTTTCCCCTAAGACTGACTCCAGGCTAAGCCCCCAGCACCCAGGAGCCCAGTGCAGTGTCTAGAAGTCCAGTACTATGTTGGACTGGTGGGTGGGAGGTTGATCCCCACCTTCACCCTCTTTGCACTCACAGGAGGGACTTTCCCATGCAACTCGGGGTCTCTGAGCACCCCCACCTGACTGGAGCAGTGTGCAGGTGATGCATGTGGTGGCCCACTCCTGCTGGCTTTCTTGTCCACTTGCTCAGCCCAGCCCCCTCTCCCGTGCTCAGTGGCCCTGGCTGGGTGTTATGGATGGGACACACAGAGACCTCATCCTACCCCTGTCCTGGCCAGGATGATGGTGAGTGGGGTCGGGGCTCAGATGGAGATCACATCTAGACCCGGCCCCTACTGTCCCTGCTGCACTGCCCTTGGACAGACACCCATGAGGATGCCTGCTGCAGGGAGTGTGGTCCTGGACTGGGCTGAGGCTCTTGGGAGCACCATGACCTCTGGGGCTGGACAGTCTTGGGCTTGGTACCCTCTAGGTCTTCCTCCCCACAACCCTGCCTGGCCAAGTGAGGTAAAGTTAAGACCACATTGCGGGTGCTGGGAGGTCAGAGCAGATGTTGCCTAAGAATGCTCTGTATGAACCTCCCTGAAGCAGTCACTGGACCTGGGGTACCCACCCAAGGGTGGGGGAGTTACATGGAGGTGCTGTTGAAAATCTGGGAGGGAAAAAGGTAGGAGCCCCCTCTGATAGCCCCACTTCTACATCTGGTGCCTGGCTACTGACTGGTTCCAGGCTCCCTGGGGCACGTTCAGAACATCTGAAGTCTCCCTCGACAAATCAGGTGATGCAGATGTCCATAACCCCACCTAGAGAGAGAAAGTCGCCCCTAGCTCCAGGGCCTCTCTGTGTTCATGGGGCATGGCATAGGTGTGGGCTGGTTGGAGAAAGGCATTTCTGGAGGCCTTGGAAGCAGAACTTAGGGCTGACAGGGTGGTGACTTGGTGGGCATGGCAGGTGGAGAGGGCTGACTCACTGTGGCCAGGGAGCATGGGAACTGCTGGAAAAACAGGTTTGGAATTCCTGCTGGGCCTGGTGGAACTGGAGGTTCCCGGATGTCAGGTGGACTGAGAGTGGAGGTCTGGGTGTGGGGCTATGGGCAGTGGGCTCTCCATACCTGTGGCTGGAGGAGGCCCCACATACCTGGCTCATCCCCAAGAGGTGCTTCAGACTGCATTGTGGCTGTGTCCCTGGAGGCCTGTCAGGCACTGCCAAGTGTGGAAGCTGAGGCTGCAGCTAGGTTCCAGATCCATGGGAGGAGGCCCTTTGTACCTGGCAGGACCGCCTATGAGGGTATGAGTGTCCTGTCCTGGGCAGTTTCCTAGCAGAAGCTTGAACAATAGACCGAGATGCCGTTTACGTTTAGGAGAAAGTGGGTGATTCTGATGCCGGGAACTCTAGTAGTGCTGGGAGCTTATGGGGACAATGTAGGCAGGGAGAGCTTCCTGTAAGTGGTGAACTGGCTAGAGCCTTGGAGGCAGTTCAGGTTAGAGCAGGAAGAGGACCATCATGATCCCTACATCAGCCCTACCCAATGCCCTTCTACTGCTGAGAAAACTAGGATCAGAGAAGGTTTGGCAGGTGCCAGGATACCCTCAGAGTGAGGCAGAATCTGGTGGGGTCTCAGATACTTCTTCCTATCACTGCTGACCTTTCCCCTCCTCCCTCCTTCTGTGGAGACAACCGCCTCTTTCTAGAACTTGAGTTTTCTGCAGCACCCCTCCCCCCATCCCCTGTCACTCACCTCCTGAGGCCGGGGCTCTGGACTTGATGTGTACCATCAGGATGTCAGTAGCAAAATGATGTCCAGGAGAAGCAATGACAGGCACGGAATACCACTACCCCACCCCCTTAGCCCTGCCCGCTCCCTGAACTCAACTGGCCAGGAAGCTGGGCACAGGGACAAGCCTGGACCTCTATCTGGAACAGAGGTTCCCCACTCATCCTCCCCCCTCCCTCTACCTTCCTGCCCTATACCCCTTGTGCTGTGCCACTGGATCACACAGAGAGGGAAATGTCTGACTTAGGGTGGGCATAGCACTCCAGGCCCTCTGAAAACACAGCCCTGGGGCCCACCCTGACCTGAGGTGGGCACCAAGTGAACAAGTCAGATCCCTGGGCTGGAGATACCAGGAAACCCCAGGGAACAGGGAAAAGGCTTCCTCAACCTCAGGTTGACATATGGGCCAGCAACAATCCCTGCCACACCCCAGGGGCTACAAAATGCTTCCTTCTGCCTTCATGTCCTTCATTCATTCTTTTATTCAACAATATTTTATATGACTGACCATATGTCAGACACTGTGGGTATAAGGGAGACCAAGAGAGAAGAGAAACAGGGCCCTCAGGGTGTCCAAACTGTGTGGCAGGGAGAGGGGGAGACAGACAATAATCACATGGTTTGTGGTACACACTGCAGAAGTGTGACCATGGGAAGTCAAGGGACCTGGGGCTTGCGGACAGAGCTGTCTAAGCTGAGACCTGAAGGGTGGGTGGTCATCATGTGGTGAGCAGGTGGGCACCCAGGCAAGGATGTCAGGCCCCATGTGGCCTGGGGCATCTCACCCCTTTTTTTCCTCTTTCCCCAGGAGGAGCCAAGTGACAGTTTTAAGCCAGGCAGCTGAGTAATGCAGTGTCTCCTTCGGGCCTTCTATGTTCCTCTTGGTCACACACCTGCACAAGTGGGACCTCGGATGACACAAAGAGGGACAGGCCTTGCTCAATGGGACCCAGCAAGTGGGAGTCATGGCTGTGTTTGCCCTCTGGGCCTGGCCCTTCCCCCATACCCAGGCTTCACCACTCTTCCCTCCTGGTGCAGAAGTCACCTTTACACACGGAGCCACCACCCTAGACACAGTCTCTCTCACCTGCTTCTCAGGGCCTGGCATGACCCTACATGCATCTTAGGTCACCTCCTGGGACCCAGTCCCCTCCCCACTGCTGGGTCTGGCTTCTGAGTATAGCTAGAGGCTAGGAGCTGGGCCAGGAGGGAACCCAAGGCTGGCTATGTCCTCTGTGTCAGCCCCTCATCCCTACTGAGCCTTTCTTTCCTCCCCTGCCAGGGTGAAAATCCAGGGAGCAGCTTTGTGGAGGGAGCAGAGCTTGAGCAATCCTTTCCTGCTTTGGGACTCGCCTGTTCCCGGCAAGGGCTGGCCTGGGGGCCTAGGGTCCAAGAGAAACAAGCTAGTTCTCAGACCTGGCTAGTGGTGCCCACAGGTAGGGCCGGTGCCCTCCCTGGAAGAGATACCACAACAGCACCTACAACCAGCATAGAGACCCCACTCCACAGAAACTCGGAACGGCCCCTAATGATTAGACCCTCTACTATGTCCCTCTGAGGCACTGGTATTCAGAGGTCTGGGCAAGGTACCCAGTGCTAAAGATTGGGTGATGACTCAGAGTTTGAGCTGTGTCCATCATGAAGTGTGGGAAGACAGCCTGCAGAGGGGCATGGTCCCAATGACTGTGGGATCTCAGAGTCCCAGGACTACAGGCTCTTAGAATTGGCTTGCAGAATACAGAGAACCCTAGAATTGCAGGACTTAAAGAACATGAGTGAGAATCAGGTACCCTGGAGGTGATTTATTTTTTGCACATGAGGACAAGCTCTCACCAGGGACCTAGGGAAGGATACATTATTTGTGCCCATGCTCAAATCCTAGGCACTTCTTCCTGCTATGCCACAGTGCACTCTATCTCCTGTTGTACCCTGGAGCTTGTGGTTGCAACCCTTAGCTCCATAGGGTACATTCAAGAGGCAGTGAACTCAGGACCTTCCCCACCTTCCTTCTTCACTCTTCTGCCTTCATTTGCTCTCAATACCCAACCACCGGCCTTATTATTCATCTACCCATCTATCCTTCCACCCATCCATCCATCCACCCACC